TTGCATTTTGAGTTTTGGGGTACATGTGAAGAACATGCAAGATAGTTGCATAGGTACACACATGGCAGCGTGATTTGCTGCCTTCCTCCCCTTCACCTGTATCTGGCATTTCTCCCCATGCTAGCTCTCCCTAACTCCCCACCCCCCACTGTCCCTACCCTATTCCCCCCAACAGACCCCAGTGTGTGATGTTCCCCTCCCTGTGTCCATGTGTTCTCACTGTTCAACACCCACCTATGAGTGGATTTCTCTCCTTTCTTATCCCCTTTCACTGAAATCGGGCTTCTGTTTCTTCCACTCCAGAGAGTCTGCAATTGCAAAGGTCAGTGATCTCTTCATTGCTACTTTAAAAAAATTAATTTCATACCTAGGGAAAAAATTCCAACATACACACAATTACATAATAGTACGCATCACAAAACTTCAATACGTAATGACATTTTCCCCATGTCTTTCAATGGACTCTAAATCCACATTGTAGGGAAGCCATTATGGTCTCTAACCTGGCTACTTCATCCTTGACGCCTTCCCAAAGGTGACTTTCCTTTCTAGTTTTCCTCTGACTCCTCTGCTGCTTTAGGGCACCCTCCACTTTGGGGTTCCTTCCTCTGCCTGTCCCCTGAATGTGGGTGTTTCCCAGCGCTCTGTCCTGACCCCATCCGTCTCTCACTTTCCACACTCTTGCTGGGTAAACTCGCCCTCTCTCATGGCCTTTTTACCTTCTGTGGGCTGGTGATGCTCACATTTCAATGAGGTCTCCATCTCCGCCTTCAGCCCAGACCCTTTTCCCAGGCTCAGATCACCATGTCCAGACATCTCCTGGACACCAAAATTGAGTCCATCCTCCTGCCAAACAAGCTGTTTCCTGGATTCCCATTCATCCACACAATAATAAATATCTACTCATATTTATTAGATACCAGTTGGTATGTAAGAAAAAAATGTAAGATTGGGAACAATCCAAATAAATTACTACTACATGAAAAAGATGGGCAATAACAAGTGCTATTGAGGATGAGGGGAAATTGGAAACCTCTTACACTGCAGGTGGGAATGTAAAATGCTGGTGTCCTGGCCCACCCAGAACCAGAATCAAGCCCATAGAGGATGTTTGTCATTGTCCTCCCACTGCCCCAAGAGATGGGCTCTTGAGCACAGTGCAATGATCAGAGCTCACTGCAGGTTTAAGCTCCTGGGCTCAAGCCTCAGTCTCCCAAGTAGCTGGAACTACAGGCATGCACCACCACATCCAGCAGAGGATTGAACTGATGGCCCAAGGTGGAGAGAGAATGAAAGTTCAGATGCTCTGATGGATGAGGGGTGGAGTGGCTTGCCTATGGGAATGAAGATGTGCAGAAAGGGCCAAGTGTCTGCAGGCTGGGTTGCAGGGTCTGTGAGGGATGGGCTCAGATGCTGAGCCTGCAGGAGTGCCTGGGCAAACTGCACAGAAATACCACAACCTGGGCAGGCTTTGGGAGCTCCCCAGCCAAGTCCTAGGGAGAGGGAGAGGGGCTGCCAGCGCCCCCTGGCTTGGGCCTAGGGAGGCCACAGTGATTCTTCTTAGGATGGCTTGAGCCTCCTGGAATTGTGACCAGCCCCAAAGGCAGGATGAGGCTCCAGGAAAATGACTAATATCAGATTTCCTGCTAACCCCGGCAATGAGAGGAGGGGGCTCCCAGTGTATTTAACGAGATTTACCAAAATAAAGACATGGCATTCCTTACACCCGAGTGCCATGTTGTGATGCATAGGCTGAATTACAAATTGCAAGATGTATGAGGTAAGAAGGAGTAACCACAGAGACAGAGAAAAGTGGGCATATTTGCTATTTAGCAGGAAGAGCAGACAGGTCTTAGTGAGGGACTGGAAGCGGAGGGTCGAAGATTGGTACTAAAAAAGGATTTCCCGGTTTCTGGCTAAGAACTGGGTCAACCCGAGTGCTTTCCCACCCCTTCCTCTAGACCACCCATCCACCCTGCAGCAGACTCCCGAAAGTGTCGCTCTGGTCCGACGTGGCACTTGTCCCTTGTCCACACAGACCGCCTCCCCTCACCCATTACTCCTATTATGTTAGGAGTAACGTCGCGGCCTTTCCCCAGACCAGCCTCGGGGGCTCCAGCGAGACCTCCGCCCAGCTCCCGGAAAGGGTCTTCCAGCCAGGCCTTTCAGCGGCCCCAGGCAGGCAGGCGGAGCCCAGGCTCTGCGCCTCGCAGGTCCCGGGGCCTCTGTCGCCCACCCTCGCCAGGGCACCGTCTTTCCCACCGGCCCGATCCCGCTTCCCGAGGTCCCGCGGGGCCAGGGTGCCCAGGCGGCGGAGCTAGAGCCTGGGGTGGGGCAGGGGTGAGCCTGCGGGCGGGGACTGCGCGCGTGCGCGGGGCCGGGGTGGGGCTGCTGTTGTTGAGCCGAGAGCCCGGGTAGCTGGGCATCTTCGGGGTGGGGCTCTCCGGTCCGGCCACCAGGTTTCAGGCGTGGGCCGCGCCCCTGGGCCAGACGGGAAGCCTTCCCTTTCCGCGCCGCCTCCGGGCCGTCCTCTCCCCTCCCCGGGCGGCTGCAGCGGGGCGCAGGAGCCTGCGGCCTGGGCTGGTGTTGCGGTCGCCCCTGCTTCGTGAGGCCCCGCAGCGGGGAGGGAGAAAGAGAGGAGGGAGGAGAGGGGTGAGGAAGGAGGGGAGGAGGTGGGGGGAGGGCTTCTCAGTTTTTTCTGGGCGATTCTCTTCTGACATCTTAAGTCCCCAACGCTTGGAACTGGGCCCACTTCTCTTTCCATTCTGGCACTCTCTGAGGGAGCGCAGCCTGGTATGTGGGTCAGAGGAAGGACTGGGAGGAGGTGGAAGGTGTCCACACGCAATTTTTTTTTCTTTCTTTTGAGACTGCGTCTCGCTCTATTGCTGAGGCTGGAGTCCAGTGGCAAGATCTTGGCTCACTGCAATCTCTGCCTCCCAGGTTCAAGCGATTCTCGTGCCTCAGCCTCCCGAGTAGCTGTAATTACAGGCGCCGGCCACTACGTCCAGCTAATTTTTGAATTTTTAGTAGAGTTGGCGTTTCATCATGTTGGCCAGGCTGGTCTTGACTTCCTGACCTCAAATAATCCACCCGCCTGGGCTTCCCAAGTAGCTGGGATTATAGGCTCTAGCCAGCCAGCACAGCCTCCGTACCCAGTTCTTTGGCTTCAGTGTGACCTTGTCTTACCTTCAGGTCCCTGACTATTGGAGCTCACATGGCACAAGCTCTGAGGGCTAGTTTTGTGTTGGGCCAAAAAAACCAACCTCACTGTGAACAAACCTCTCTCTCTCTCTCTCTCTCTCTCTCTCTCTCTCTCTCTCTGTGTGTGTGTGTGTGTGTGTGTGTGTGTGTGTGTGTGTGTGTGTGTAGGCAGGCTTGGGGCCAGTTGGATGGGGAAGGCTTGCTTAGAAAATTAGACTCTTGAGGGGTCCTCAGTACTGTACTTCCTCTGATGATTTTCCTGTAAGACCTGAGCTGAGCTCCTTTGAAAGGGATAGCAGTATTCCTTGGGAGCCAGCTTTGGTGGGGGCAATAGGTGGAGCCTAGCTCCTTGGGGCTCTGGGGTTTGAAAGGGAGGCTACCACATGGTCTTGTGGCCCACGCCAGTAGCATCCCGGCAGGACCCATCTCTGACTGAGGCTGAGCCTGGGGCTGCTGGCAGCTCCCAGCTTTCCTCTCCACAGCCTGGCTGTGGCTGTTCCTCAGCCTGTCAGCACCACATTCACAGCCACAGGACTGGCCCCCACTCCCCCTAACTTCCTGGAATTCAGAAAATGGATCACCCCTGCCTCATCCCAGTTTTCCACCCCAGAGACCTGCCATACCCTTGGTCAAGTCCTCATGCAAACCAGATTCCTTTCATTCAAGGACTTCCGGAGGGAGGATTACTCAGTCCTCAGCGACACCCGTGCTGCCCTGTCTGGACTGCTTAGACCCCATCAGAACTCCACAGCCGCTTTCTCCGGGAAGTCTTCCTGGCCACCCTCACCAGGTGTTTTCTCCTCATTGTCTTCTCAAAGCCAGGCCTTGACTTGTCCTAGGGCCTCATCCCATACCACATTTTATTGTCATAATATTCTTTCCCATAGTGACTGACCCAGTCCTCAGCACTGAGCCTGGCACAAAGTGCATGCTAAGGACAAGCTTGCTGCACAGATAAGTGAATGGGGACTTCAGATGTGTGTGTGTGTACACATTTTTTTTTTTTTTTTAAGACCGCTCTTTTGCCCAGGCTGGAGCCAGGCTGGAGTGCAGTGGCCAATCTTGACTCACTGCAACCTCCACCTCCTAGATTCAAGCAATTCTCCATCCTCAGCCTCCTGAGTAGTTGGGATTATAGGTGCCTGCCACCACACCTGGCTAATTTTTTTTATTTTTAGTAGAGACAGGGTTTTACCATGTTGGCCAGACTGGTCTTAAACTCCTGACCTCAGGTGATCCACCCACCTCGGCCTCCCAAAGTGCTGGGATTACAGGCGTGAGCCACCACTCCTGGCCCTAGGCATATTTTTAAGAAGGTCCCTGGTTGAGCTGTCATAGATATTGAGTGAGGATCAGCAGATGTTAGGATCTACAGTGTCCTGAGACCTGTGATCAGAGGCCTGGTTTCCTCAAGAAGTGTGACCCCTATATGAACTTTAAGGCTGAGCTCTTGGCAAACAACTGTCATCCAGAATTCCCCTGGGCCAGGTCAGTCCCTGTTCTTGTTTCATCTTCAGGCTTCAATTCAGCCACCCAGAGCTCAGCCTGCTGGGATCTGGCACCTCCTGTGAGGCTGTCATGGTATCTGACCCTTGCCTTATCCTGCCCACCTCTGTGATGGGGTCCTGTTTCAACCTGGCATTGCCTACCCATTCCCATCCAACGCTGACAACTCACAGGACCCCTCTGGTCCATATGGGTGAATGCAGAGCCTGACATGCCCACTTTTGAATGTAATGGCATGCACACCTATTCACACAAATGCACCCCTGTCCAACAGAGCCAGAGAGAAACATTGCTGAGCCAGAGGGACCACTTTTATTAGATTCCAGCAAGACTACTGTACATGTTTCATGCAGATTAAATATGTGTCTTCACTGCCCCTGGGAGGGGAGCATTCTCACTGTCAGCTCCTTCATTGGCATGTCAAGGGGTGAGTATCAAGGGGAGCTCTCAATGTATTCCGTATGGGGGACAGTGGGGATCATGACTCGGGGTAGGGGTGAGACACTAGGTAGCTGAGGGTCCCTGGGACCTTGAGTCTTCAGAGGTTCAGGGACTGCAGGACCTTGGTCCTTTGCTGGTGCTGGCACCAGAGGATCTTGATCCTTCAGAGGCACCGGGATTATAGGAACTTGATTCTTCAGAGGTTCAGGGACTATAGGACCTTGATTCTTTGGAGGCTGTAGGACCATGGACCCTTGATCCTTAACTAGTACTGGGAGAATGGGGTCTTGATTCTTCACAGACTCGGGGACCACAGGACCTTGATTCTTTACAGGTGCCACAACTGCAGAATCGTGAACCTTTGCATGCTCTGGGACCACAACATCTCGATCCTTGACTGGCCCTGAGACCATGGAACCTTGATTCTTTATAAGCTCAGAGACCATGGAACCTTGATTCTTTATGGGTGCTGTGACTATAGGACCTTGATCCTTTAGATGCTCTGGGACCATGGGACCTTGATCCTTGATAGGTGCTGAGACCATAGGACCTTGATCCTTGACAGGTGCTGAGACCATGGGACCTTGATCCTTGAAAGGTGCTGAGACCATGGGACCTTGATCCTTGACAGGTGCTGAGACCATGGGACCTTGACCCTTGACAGGTGCTGAGACCATGGGACCTTGATCCTTGACAGGTGCTGAGACCATGGGACCTTGATCCTTGACAGGTGCTGAGACCATGGGACCTTGATCCTTGACAGGTGCTGGGATCATGGGACCTTGATCCTTGACAGGTGCTGGGACCACAGGAGCTTGATTCTTCACAGGCTCAGGAACCCTAGGACTTTGATCCTTCAGAGACTCTGGTACTACAGAATCTTGATCCTTAGCTCTTGCTGGAACCATAGGACTTTGATTCTTTGGAGGAACTGGGACCGAGGGACCTTGGTCCTTGACTGGTGCTGAGATAATAGGGCTTTCATTCTTTAAAGGCTCAGGGACCACGTGATCTTGATCCTTGACTGGTAACAGGATCATGGGACCTAGATCCTTCGGAGGCCCTGGGACCACAGAACCTTGCTTCTTCAGAGGCTCTTGGACCATAGGACCTTGACCTTTCAGAAGGCCTGGGACCACAGAACCTTGATCCTTGTCTGGCTCTGTGGCTACAGGACCTTGATTCTTACTTGAATCACTGACGCGTTGACCCAGGCTCCTGCAAAGGAGAGAGAGGTGGTCACTGTAAGAGTAGAGTTCAGGCAGGGACAGGGCAGAGAACAGATTGCCTGATAAGTCTTGGCCTAGTGGAGCCTGGGCTGGGCAGCTCTTGCTGGAGAGCCAGGAGAATCTGATTTCTGTGTTCTTAGTACAGAATGTGGGTGAGGGAGGTGGGTGAGGGGAAGGCACAGGAATCAGTCATTCAGTGTGCTTGCCAATTGATTATAACCTGCACGTGGCACAGGGGGTGGCACTCTGGTGACAATGGCAGTACTATAGCTGGACTCAGAGTCATCCGGTAGGCATCCCAGCAGCCCGTCCACCCCACACTCCATCCAAGTCCCTACTTCTTCTAGGTTCACTGGGCCCATCCTGGGAACCCCATCTTAGCTGTCCACCAGATGCCCCCAAAGGCCAGGGTGCTCTTTCCTTGCTCACAGGGACTTCCAGTTCTTTTCCCTCCCTGACTCCCTGACCCCCTTGTTAAGCGCTGACTGCAGGAAGGGGCAAGGAGTCCATGGCATACCAGGAAAGGAAGCAGTAGGAATGCGCTTCTCCCCCTCTCTTGGAAGGGGAAAAGGATTTTATCACTGACATTGTATAGAATGAGCAGCATGTGGTGATAATAAAAAGCAGGCCAGCTTTTAGTTTTTTGTTATTTGTTTCTGTAGAGATGGCATCTCACTATGTCACCCAGGCTGTTCTCGAGCTCCTGACCTCAAGTGATCCTCCCAGCGGAATAGCTGGACTACAGGCAGCTTTTAGCTTTATTGCTTTAAATTCTCTACAGACGGTGTTCCCCGTGATTGCGTGCACCACTTCCACTACCCTCAACCTTTGGTAGGGGACTCACTGGGACTCCCCATTCAGGTAGGGATGGGGCCCTGATCCCCTCACTCCATTCCCACTTCTGGCTCCCTCTGTTCTCCTAAGTCCCTTGCCCTCACCAACTCCAAGGCTCCTGGGCTTACTTCCCTGCAACCAAGAGTCTCAGTCTGTCATCAGAATCCTCAGGCACTGTTCTGTCTGCCTCACTGCGGCCATCTGCCTCATCTGCTGGCCCACACAAACTGTGGAGAACCTGTGACAACACCAGCCCTCAAAGGCAAGCATTGCCACACTTGGACCCGGCCAGCCTGGAGCCCTCTGGTTTACAGTGCACACTCCTTCCTTTCAGGCCACGTTGGAAGTAGCCACTTGAGAGTGGCGTTGCTCAGCAAGTGTCACAGGCCCTTGCACACCTACAACACATTCACTTTCCAAATAGCTCCCTTTCAGAGCTCATTTTGGCAACAGAGCAGCCCTGTGAGGCACACAGGAACGATTTTCTTACCCTTACTTGTCTGATGAAGAAAATGAGGTTGTGAAAGAACAAGTAATGGGGAAAGTGAGGCACCCCCATAGACTAGCATCTGAGTCCTTCCACTCCTAGAGCCTGGACTCTTTCCCTTAGCATGCCTGGCGCATGGTAGGTGCTCAATGCCAGGTAGCTATTACTATTACTCTATTTATTGGGTATAATGATATTTACACAGAAATCTATAATGAGTAGAGGTCAGTACGTAGAGCACCTTGTACTATGGTATTATTAGGTAGTATTACGGTTATTTTTATAGTTACTTAGAAGTAAAATTATATATATTTGGACTACTTTTATTCTACTGTGTTGTCCTGATGCAGAAGCTTTTTACTGTATTTAGCACCTTGAGCCACCCATGGACTGGTATCTCTCAGCAGAGTCCATGGCCACATAGGCGGCCTCTCCGTCCACTCCTCCTGGCTGTCCCTGAGCATCACAGTGGAAGGCACCAGGGTGGCTCTCTGGCTTAGCACGACATGGAACACAGGTGCTCTGGCCAGACGGACACAGCTGGCTGCCATCAGTAGGTCCTAAGTGTTTGAGGAGAGAGCCAGGCAAGGCCGTGAGAAGCTTGCCTAATCCAAAGGCATTAAAGCACCTCCAGTCACTGGTGGCTGGTCAGAGAGGAAAAATAAAAATCAAATTCAGAATAGAACCAAGCAGGAAACCGATTAGGTGTATCCTCTTAGACTGTGAGGCGACCTGGGTGGTGTCCTCCCAACAGGGTGATGAAGCTGAGAAGAGACAAAAGCCAAAAAAGGGGCTGAACCCCATCTTAGGGGCTTGGGCTGCAGAACCTATCCCAAGGGCAGGACATGGGCCTGGAGTCTCCTGCTGGCACAAAGAAGCCCAGCCCTGCAGCCTGGTCCAGGAAGCACATTTCTCTGGATATTTACAGCATTGGATCCTGTGCCAGGTACCAAATTTATGTTTATTGGGCGCTTGTGTTTAATGAGCCAGCTGTGAGCTAACCTCAACTTTGCATGGATACATAACCCCATATTGCTTTGGTTAGAAAACTTTTCTTTAGTGAGTGCCTTTAATTGTGGGAAGGTTATAATTAAGATTAGGAATGATGAGTTAAATCAAATCCCCAATATTACTTTTTTGGTATTAAGTTTAGGAAAAAGCCTGTAATCCCAGCACTTTGGGAGGCCGAGGTGGGCAGATCACCCGAGGTCAGGAGTTTGAGATCAGCCTGACTAACATGGTGAAACACCATCTCTACTAAAAATACAAAAATTAGTTGGGTGTGCTGGCAGACACCTGTAGTCCCACTACTCAGGAGGCTGAGGTGGGAGAATCATTTGAGCCCAGGAGGTGGACGTGGCAGTGAGCTGAGATTTCGCCACTGCACTCTAACCTGGGTGACACAGTGAGGCACTGTCTTGAGTTAAAAAAAAAAAGAAAAAAGTTTAGGAAAAATATGCATAGATTTAGTTCAAAAGTATTTGTAATATTTAAGATAATTTAGCATATTAGAATATCTAACAGATTAGCTTTGTAATCCCAATATAACATGTGTAATGGAATAAGTAAATTTAGACTTATAACTTAAAGCTGAAAGATATGACAGTTTTACAGTTTTTTAAGACAATGATGGAACTTTTATGGCAAGTCATTGGTCACCATATTTTTAATCTTAATTTATTAAAAATTATTTATAATTTAATTTATATTTAGGGTAATTGAACTAAGCTATAATATCCTCCTTAAAAGAGATTGTTACATTTTACTAGGTTTTTGATTTTTGTTACTTTTTATTAAGCGTTCACTTTTAAAATCCAAGCAGTCTGGACAGTTTTTCTATGCACGAAACTGCACTCAAGGGTGCCATGAAATCCTCACTGACACTGACTGGTCCTCGCTTTGGTCCACAGTTGCCTGCCAGTCTCCCATCTGTAAAATGCCCACCTCCTCCAGTGAGGCTGGTGAGAATGAGGCAAAGCCACCCCCTCAGGTTGGAAGCCGGTTTGTGGCTTGGGGAGCAGAAGCAGGCTGCATTCGGCCCACTCAGGCCACAGGCCAGCTGTCCTTGGGCATGGCCCAACCTGCACAACCAAATCTGGGGCCCTGGGTCAGCAGCACATATTCTCAAGACAGCATATGCCTCAGGCGCCTTCTCCCGCCTGTGTACCCTGAAAGCACCAGCCTCTCAGAAACTACAATAACCTGCTGGGCCTATCTTGGCTTCTGTGCTGCTTATTGCCTGAAAGGTCTTGGGCAATTGCTCAACCACAAAAGACCTCAGTTTCCCTGCCTATAAAGCGGGGACAAGAATTTAAATTTCAGGGATTATTACAACAGAAGATATTGTGAGGCAGGCATCTGCAACCATAATTCTTGATATTTTCAGCATGCTTGGATAGTACACAGATAAGTCCACTATTGTAATAACTGTGATGCAGGTTACTAAATGCTCACGCATCTGTTATCTTATGTCATTTGCCCCTCACAGTAGTCCTGGGGGAACCCCACTTTCCTTGCATCATCCTCTCATGCTGTTTTGCACACTGCCAGCCAGGGCTGTGTTGTTTCTGCTGTTTCTGCTTCACCCACTCTTCTGTGTCAAAGCCCTGCCCGTCCTTGAAGGCTCGGCTCAGCTCCCACCTCCTCCCTGGTCTTCCTGCCTGTGTCTCTCCACACTAATTTCTTTTGCATCCCAGCTGCAGCACCATCTCACAGTCTCTCTCTCCACCTCCTCACATATCCCAACTGGAGGCCAGGCTCTCCTGCTAAACAGCGAGCTCCCTGAAGGCAGGGGCCGACCTTCTTGCCTGCAGCCCCAATTCCCAGCATAGTATCTGAAACAAAGCAGGCAAAATGGAAAGTTTTAAAAGTTATTGTTGCTGAAAGCTGGTTCATCCTCTATTCCCTGGCCCCTGCCAGAAACTCGAATTCATCCTTAATACCTCCCTTTCCCTCAAAACCCTTACCTCACCCATCAGGTCCCATTGATTTCAGCTCCTAACATTTATCCTTGAATATTCCCACTTCTTTCCCTCCCTCCCTTCCCCTGCCACCTGCTATGCCATCATCTCCTTGGACCACTGTCACAGCCTCCTAACTGGTGTCCCCTGTTCCAGCTATCCTTGCTCTCCTCCAATCCATTCTTCATATAGAAATCAGAATGATCTCTTAAGAGGGCAAACCTGATCCTGTTTATAGGATCCTGTTTACCCTGCTTACAACCCTTCAGTAACTTCTCCTGGCACCAAGAATAAAGAAAATCTGTTACACTGCTCCACCTAGCTGGCCAATCTACCCACTCCTTACCCCTCTGCCCTTCCCCTTCCTGCCTTCCCTGGCTCTCTGTGCCCAGCATTCTGTTCCTTCAACATGCCCTGCTCCTTCCCATTTTACAGCTTTTGCACATGCTGCTGTCTGCTCCTGGAATATTCTCTTGTTCCCTCTTCACCTGGCTAGTGCTTACTCAGCCACCATCACTCAGCTCACTGAGGCACCGCCCTGGGAAGCCTTCCACGGACCCCACAGTCATGGCCAGCCCCCTGCTACAGGCTCTCCCAGTCCCTGGCACTTGCTTTGCTGTCTTCTCTCAGCTAATTCCATGTGTTCTTTTGGAATACAAGGAGGGCAGGGACCACGTCAGTTTTACACATCATTGTGTCCTCTGTACT